TAGTAGATCAAGTATGATGAGCGACTTGTAGAAGTTGTAGGGTTTGGTATGTCGATATGACTTTACTTTTCAATTGCCTACTCATTGCCAAGTAGAACCTGTTGGCAAGAGTGATTCTACGTTGGATAGACGAAATTATTTTCGATCTTGGCCAATGGATATTTATGAGAAGATTTTATCTCATGTGAGATATTTTGGACGTTTGGCCAAATCTGGATTCGAATTCTGACTTTCTGAATGTTAATACGCGCAATGTTAATCACAGTAACGGGAGTAATAATAATTTTAACCACATTTAGCGCACCACGATTGGGCTCAATTCTCAGTTACACTGTGCATATAATTGGCACTTTGTAACCTCTAAAGCGATTTTCCTCCGAGTACCTCCTTCAATTCGTGGTTTTTCGTCTTGATGTTTTTCCAACAAATGGAGGGACCTACAGTTTATACTAAGCCGCCTCCGAACGGCTGATGGTTTTTTTTATGAGGAGCTTTATTTTATGTTAGAAATACACTCGGAGGGGTGGTTAACATTCCTTGTCGATGGGCGACCGCAATTTAAAATTTAGCTTAATTAAGCCTTTCGAATGGCAGTACGCGCGAGGCGCGGCTCAAACCTCGCTGCCGGGAAAACCCATTTTTATTATTATATTTTTTTTTGGCGACGTTGAAATTCAACATGCCTGAGTGAACTAGTATAAAACAAGTATAAAGCTGATGCATGGTCGGATTATTGGGAGTTCGTAGGACATGCCAGTTTCTTACATGGGGAAGTAGATGGAAACTTAACTATTTAGCGCAAAAATGCAAACCAGTTGGATTCTAGTAGTTAACAACTAGTTTTTTTCCCTACAGGGTACAGGGAATGTATTGTATGTACGTCTACTGCTCGTAAGTTAACCACTCAATAGCGAATATCAACAAATTGTTGCCTACGTGCTGCGTCGCATGTGTCTCTGGAGCTCTCGTCATATGCATGGATACATATACACATATATACCTATCGACCTGTATACGAGTTTGTATGTATGGAGCTATTCTTTACACATCGCAACCCAGTTTTCTCTGCTCTCTTTTTCTTTGTGCTTATTGATGTATAAATACAAATACGCATACATATGTTTAATACACGTACACACCACTTGTAATGTGGTGAATTTCAGCACGGCATTTCCGTTCAACGTTTTTTCACCTCTCAACACAAACAAAGTGCGCGTGTGTTTCTCTTGAGTTGGTTGTGTGTAGTAGGCTTGTTTTGCATTTTGCACTCTCTCTCTCTCTTTCTCTCGCTCTATTTATATATCTGTTTCTTGTTAAGGCAAACAGGCGCAAGAAGGATGCTTTACACATACACTCATACAATTGGTGCATGAAACTTTGAAGCATCGAAAGCTCTCCTTTCTGTTTCATTACAAATATTTTGTATGTGTGTTTGCGTTTGATCCTTTGCCACAAAACTAAGTTTTATGCAGGAGACTGTACATTATGTTGGCTTATTTCATAGCAAATATTTTGTTTGTTTGTACGTACATACAGTGGTGAACTAAAGTATTTGCACAGCAAGATAGTTCAACTTTAACACTTTTTTTTGGGCCGCTTATGAAAATATTTATTTTTAATTTTGAAAAAAAAAAAAAAAAAATGCTAGACGGCGGGATAAACTTTCAACTATTTTCACTTCTATTTTTTTATTATCTTTACGTTAAATTAATACTAATTATAAATGAAAAAGAGTACTAATTTGCATCAAACAAAAGTATTGGCACACTTCATAAAAAGACAAAAAAAATTATAATGAAATGGTAAAATATTAACGAAATTAATATTTTGTAGCCTAGCCTTTATGTTGTAAGACAGCTTCAAAATGCTTTTGCATCGATGAGACCAATTTTTGTGTGGTTTCTGCCCCAATATTCTGCCATTCCTCGACAATTGTTCTTCTGTTGATACAGCGCGCTTTTTAACACGCCTATCCAGCGCTTACCAATAATAATGAATATACTTTCATCCGAGAAGAGTACTATGCCCCAAAAGTCAATTGGTTTGCTTAGGTTAGTTAAAAGTTAGTTTCACGCAATGCTCTCCGGACCGTTATCGGATGAATATCCTTTCCCAATTCTCTCTTAACTTCCGCTGCGATTTGTGTGGAAGATAATCTTGCGTTTCTTTTTACCTTTCCTACTATTCGACAGCGTCCGCGGTCATTTAAAGCCTTATGTTGCATTTACCCATTTTACTTACCATCCGTCCATAACAGCCGACTGGAAGAGCGAGATACATACACGAGTTATCGACGCTACTGAGAGCGGCGAAATGTTGCCAGCTGCGAGTGTGTTTGCACACTTCTGTACAAATATATAATTTTCGTCAACAAATTTCATAAATTATGTATTCGAATATAAACGTAAATCAAATATATATGATCTATATGATAATAAATAATTAGTTACGCATTTAGTTTTCATTTCTTTTGAAAAAAAAACTACGCATTATCTTCGATTATTTAATGTTACTTTAAGAAAGACTACACTGGCAACCTTGTACATATATCAACCAGAAATGAGCCGAGTCGGTTTTATGGAAAAAATCAAAACGCCGTTGGTTTCTGTGGGTCAACCGGCACTAACGGTATGGGCAAGCAGTGACAACTTTGTGTTTACATGGCGCTCTCATAACATAGGTTGCTATGGACGGAAGGTATGTAAGCTGGGTAGTTGCAGCATTAGGGCTGCCTGTACGTATTGCGTTTTGTAAAGATGAGACCCACTCAAATCGTTTCACAATGCTTCTTAGGATGTAGTGGCTTCTGTCCATTATTTCACCAATTTCTGCACAGGATTTGCCTGTTTATGCAAATATAAAATTATTCTCCGAGCAATTGCTTATGTAGACATAACGGGACTTTTGAAAAAAAGTTGCTAGATAAATCAATCGGCCATGGTAGCCGAGTGGTTAGCACTGCGTACTGCCATTCGGAAGGTTCGGGTTCAAATTCCCGTGCGACCGACATTCAAAAGTTATAGATGCAGAAATGTCAACCCCTCGGCAGGGAATATCAACCCCTCCGATTGTATTTCTGACATGAAATAGAGCTTCTCATAAAAAACCATCAGCCGTTCGGAGGCGGCTTAGTATAAACTGTAGGTCCCTCCATATGTTGGAAAAACATCAAGAAGGAAAACCACAAATTGGAGGAAGAGCTCGGCCGAAAATCTCTTCAGCGGCAACAAAGCGCCAAATATATATTTATATATTATATAATACTTTTATTTGGTGAAAATTAGTACTTTTTCTTTCATTTATAATTAGTATTAATTCAACATAAAATATAGACAAATGAATTGAAGTGAAGATAGTTGAAAATGTGTCCCTCAGTCTAGCATTTTTATTTCGAGAAATGAAAAATATTTTCATAATTGGCCAAAGAAAAGTTGTTAAAGTTGCACTATCTTGCGGTGCCAATACTTTAGTTCATCACTGTATGTACATTTGTGTATTTCTCGAAGTTTGTATTAATGCTTTGTGTGCTTATTACGATTTAAAGTTGTTGTGAATTGTATATCTGCATGTACATTTGTGTGTATTGCGCGAAATCCACGTGTTGCCTTGACCAAGTTTCAAGAATCTAGCTGTTCTCTCAGCAAAGGGCTAATCGTTGATAGGTAGCCAGGGTGGAAACTGATTTATGAGCCTCGTTAATCCGGCCAAAAAATATGTACAGCATTGCGATATTACAATCTTTTCTTGGCTAAGGATATTCATAAAAGCGACGCCAAAATGCTGAGACTTCCGGCTGCTCAGATCAGGATTCCCATTACCTATGAAATGTCCTCAACTCTCTCCATCGGCCAAGCTTGAGTCGACTATCGACCGCTTTAACACGGCTTGTGCGAGTAAAAATATTCCTTTAGTGATATACTGTATGTGGCTAGAGGCATACCGTTATCCGTATTTGCCCACTCATACTTTGCCTAGCAATATCGTTTGTCCTGCTGCGTCCCTCTAGGTATAAGTGCCGAGAGACCAAAACGGTGAATAGTCGCGCTAGTTTGGTCATCTTCTGAAGACAGTGGTGACAGTTCAGTACTTCTCTAGAATTTGTCGTAAATGAGTTTAGAGGCCAGAGAAGATGTCTCTTCGTGAATATTCGTTTCCTTAAATAAGATCATTTTCAAGAAGCAAACCACAAATTGGAAGAAGAGCTCGGCCAAAAAAAAACGCTTCAGCAGTTACAAATCGCCAATTATGTATATATGTGAGTAAGATCAACCCTTTTCTGCTTCCTGCAGTAGCAAAAATTTGGGCTTTGGAGATACGATGCTGCAGTGTTTTGGTAGCCTGAATATTCTTCGTATCTCCGGTTGGGCAGTGCACTCCGCCTTTAATTTTTTTTTGCTCTCTCCAACCGCCTCTATTGTAGCTGTCAGAAGCTTCTAGAAAATCGGACGCGAGGCAACGTAATCTATTGCGATCAATATCCTTTAACATGTACGTGTTAGGCTGCTGATGCTACATTGTGCCTCCAGGACAACTTGTGCCCTGCACAGTTCTCAAGTATTTTGAGCTTAGTTTCAGCTGTAAAATAGTCCCTTTGGTTTTATCCAAGATCGATTTTCCGAATACACAATTCCCAAGGTTTGCTTGGCAGCCTTTCGTTTTTGGTATATTGACCTAATCCACACAGGTTCTGGTTGTAAGGAAGACCTCATCTATACGCTTTACCAGTATTCCTTATTAAGACAGTTGCCAACGATTCAAGTATTGTACAATACAATATACAATCGAGTGTTGATTGATCTCTATAATTCTTTAATATATAAATATAATGGCAAACTAATTGAACTCCCTGTGAAAAGAAGATTTAAGTATTTTCTATCCGCCTCAAATATTTGAAAGAAAAATAATTTGTGGGTTATTGCTTGGGGAGAGCGACCTCAACACTGGCTTTAGTGGTAGCTTTAATCAACTATATTCTAATATAAAACTCAATTTTCTTCTAGATCGTTGCACGCCGTCATGATCTCAAGCTTATTGTCACCTCAGCTACTATGGATTCTACGAAGTTCGCTACATTCTTCGGTAATGTACCAAACTTCACCATACCCGGACGTACTTTCCCCGTCGACGTGATGTTTAGCAAAAATACCTGTGAGGACTATGTGGAATCTGCAGTGAAACAAGCACTCCAAGTGCATCTTACACCCAACGAAGGAGATATGCTATTATTTATGCCCGGTCAAGAGGATATCGAAGTGACGTGTGAAGTGTTAGCTGAACGCCTGGCGGAAATCGACGATGCACCAGAGCTCTCCATATTACCCATCTACTCACAACTGCCATCCGATCTGCAGGCGAAAATCTTTCAAAAATCACCGGAAGGTTTACGTAAATGTGTTGTGGCTACAAATATTGCCGAAACCTCGCTAACGGTGGATGGTATTATTTATGTCATCGATTCGGGTTACTGCAAATTGAAGGTCTATAATCCACGCATTGGTATGGACGCGCTTCAAATTTATCCGATTTCACAAGCGAATGCAAATCAACGTTCGGGTCGTGCCGGACGTACAGGTCCTGGACAGGCGTTCCGTTTGTATACGCAACGTCAATATAAAGAGGATCTCCTACCACTCACCGTGCCCGAGATACAACGTACCAATTTGGCGAATACGGTGTTGTTACTGAAGTCGTTGGGTGTGGTGGATCTGCTGCAGTTTCACTTTATGGATCCACCACCACAGGATAATATCCTAAATTCGTTATATCAGCTGTGGATACTCGGCGCCCTGGATCACACGGGCGCACTGACACCGTTGGGACGTCAAATGGCTGAATTTCCGCTGGATCCGCCGCAATGTCAAATGTTAATTGTCTCCTGTCAGATGGAGTGCAGCGCCGAAGTACTTATTATAGGTAACTAACTTAGCTTTCGAACTTTTATAAGATTTTGTTGCATAATATTTTCTTTTAATATTTTCTTCAGTCTCTATGCTATCCGTGCCGTCCATTTTTTATCGCCCAAAGGGACGCGAAGAGGAAGCAGATGGTGTGCGAGAGAAGTTCCAAGTGCCGGAATCGGATCATCTCACCTACCTCAATGTGTACCTGCAGTGGAAGCAAAATAAGTAAATAAATTCATATATTTTTTTAAAATACAAATTCTCTTTTACTAACATTCACCATTACTGTCCTCTCCTTGCAGTTACAACTCTAGCTGGTGCAATGAGCACTTCATACACGTCAAGGCCATGCGCAAAGTACGCGAAGTGCGACAACAGCTCAAAGACATCATGATCCAACAAAAGATGAATGTAAAGTCCTGCGGAACCGATTGGGATATTGTACGCAAATGCATTTGTTCCGCTTACTTCTATCAAGCTGCACGCCTCAAAGGTATTGGCGAGTATGTAAATTTGCGTACAGGCATGCCCTGTCATCTGCATCCCACGTCGGCCCTCTATGGTCTTGGTACAACACCCGATTATGTTGTCTACCATGAACTTGTGATGACCGCGAAAGAGTATATGCAATGCGCCACTGCCGTTGATGGTTATTGGTTAGCCGAGTTGGGCCCTATGTTCTTCTCGGTTAAAGAGACCGGCCGTAGTGGGCGTGAGAAGAAGAAACAAGCTGCTGAGCATTTGAAAGAAATGGAAACTCAAATGCAATTGGCACAGGAACAAATGGAGGAGCGGAAACTGCAAGCAGCTCAGCGAGAGGAGCAAATGACGCCTAAACAGGAAATTATTACGCCCGGCGACGCGACACCAAGACGTACGCCAGCACGTATTGGTTTGTAATTTGGACGAGTTGGTAGCGGTGCATCGGTCTACATAGGCAAACGAGAAAATCTGTATTTGATTAAGTGTCTGTTGAAATTAAAGTAAATAAAGTAAATTACGTTTATATTTCTTGTTTTAGTGTAGTGGGGACAGTGGTTCTCTAACGCCGCTTAGGGACCGGCGTCGATCGATTGATCTTCCTAGATGGTTGGTCGCGTTCTGGCCTCTGCCTCATAAAGTTGAAGAATTGCGAAAAAATAGAACCCAGTGCTTAACATATAAAAATACTGACATCAGAAAGGCTTTCGTTAATTACTCATTACCACCTCACTAAAAGCTGTAAACACACAGATAACTCTTGGCTTCAACAAAAACCGACCGTGCGAGCGAGCTTCCGTGGTGACACTGGTCATCTCCAAAACCTTCGAGATAGTCAGCCATGCACATGCTTAAGAGGTGGACCAAGCAATAGAACATCGGTTACACCGGGGAGATGTGATCTCCGCAAAGCGCAAAAAATTCTCAAATCGCTAACCTGCAGGATGTGTGCTGAAGACAGAGTACAGTTGCTGGCCATTCAGTGCAAGGCAATTGGCTTGTCGGTCCTCTGCTTATTACGCTTCTTCTCCACAAGCCAGCGATGCACTTGATATGCTCCCGTTAATAAGCATAACGTCATACTCTACCTTAGGCATAATCTCTATAGACATTTTCTTGAAGCAGAACGGTTTTCCATTCTTTACATTGTGTCAGTGCTCAGAGATGATTCATTTGCAAGCAGCGCACGAAGAAAGGAAATTTTGTTCAGCGTTGAAGCGATGTTGTTGTGTTATTGTTGTTGCAGCGGTTCACTAGCCCCGCTTAAGAACAGGCTAGTTCGTCTAAGTCACCGAGGTCATCTAACGAGAGGACTAGGAAACCAGCTGTTTGGACGGGTTCGGACTAGAGGGTTTATATGCGTCGGTTTTAGGCGGCATGTAAAGAGGTGGTTAGTGCCGTGGGGGGTTCATTAAATGTTGGACATACGTTGGGTATGTTTGGGTCAAGTCTGGATAAGTAGGAATTTAACATGCTACAATATGCTGACCTAAGTTACGCCCGTATTACGCGGTTCTCTCACAGGAAGTGAGTTTTTAAAGGTGTTAACTGATTCCTGGTGAATGCCGTGCAGTGCCTGTCTGTACGCCGTTGTTGTTGTTGTACATATTGTGCCTGGGTGGAGATTCAGCTTGTTGGGATGCCATTGCAGGAAATTGCTTGCACAGCAAAGCATTATTCTCCTTTACTCGTAGCATAAAAGCTTAACTGTGCAAGTGATGTGACATCAGAAGGTTTTCTATCGTGGTCCTAAGGGCGGTGTTTTGGCAAGCCTCTCCGTAGTCCTCGGATCGGTGCAGCATAGTTAACGACCGGTCGGTCAAATGCTTTGTGGGTTATCAGCAAGTTTTCTTTGTCCTTACCCCAGGTGCTGCCGGCTCGCGCTTTGATTATTTTGTTGCGGAGTGAAAAAGTGCAGACTGACAAATGATACTCCTAGTAACTTTGGAATTTTGTCGCCGTCTACCTTCAAATCAAGTTCGCACCTGGTTTGAATCGAATTATATACGGCTCTCGTCCTTTCGGCGATCTAATCCCGTTTAAGTCAAGCGCTTAGGCGATGACCGTAAATACTTGCAAAACTGAAATTCTCAAGTGGTCAGCGAAGTAATACAAAGTACTTACTGTTGTAATGGAAATTATCTTCATTCATCTCAGTTCTGTACCTACCAGTTGTCATACTGGCATTGGGTAAAGTCCAAACGAATCAGTCCTACGACAGACAGAGTTATTAAGCCGCTTTCTTAATTCTCTCTATGAAGATATTGAAATGCGAGCGCTGGTTATTTAAGTTGACTAACTCGAATTGATGCGAGTAATCCGCGTAGTTATGGCGTAATCAACAACAATAACAAGTTAATATAAAAAGAATAATAGTTTGACTTTTATTCACTCAATATGTAATATGGCTAAATAATAAAAATAAAATATATAAAAATCAATGGGTTATAGAAATACCAATAATAAAGCACATATTCCTCCTTTAAGGTATATAAATCATTCACAACAATCTAATCGACAAGCGAGTTTATCATACCGCTCATACCAAACAATCAATATACGGCTTGTTAGATTATTCGTAAATATGTATGTATATAGTTGCGAGACAATAATCAGGTTCCCTACTCCACACGAGTTGCCATGGTCTTCTCGATTTCCTCTACAGTGCGTGGCACTATGGCAAAATTTTCACAGCCATCCTTTTTGATCAGCACATCGTCCTCAATGCGAACACCGCCGAATTTGCGGAAGCGCTCATAAACCTCCTTAACAATAAACTTGTTCAAATTCGGATCGGCAAGAGCGCGATCCATTAGGTATTCGATGAAGTAGCAACCCGGTTCCACAGTCACGTACATGCCCGCTTTCAGTGTGCGTGCAAAACGCAGTTTAGACAGCCATGGCTCCGTCGGTCGGTCTGGTTGCCCTGTTAGATAACCACCAACATCATGCACATCCAGACCGAGTAAATGTCCCAGACCGTGTGGTTGAAAAATGCCTGCCAAACCAGCGGCAAGCATGTCCTCTACATCGCCCTTCAGCATACCACCCTCCTTCAATTTTGTGAGCATAACACGACATGCCAATTTGTGCATATCAACCCATGATACTCCTTCGCGTGCTTCCTGCAACACAGCGTTTCGACCAGCCAAGACGGTGTTGTAAATAAATTTCTGATCTTCGGTGAATTTACCGTTAGCTGGGAAACTGCAAGTAATATCTGCTGCATAACCGCAATAGTTGGCGCCCATATCGAATAGGCACATGTCACCATCACGCACAGGTCCATCGTTTGGCGCGCCAGCATGTCCGTAATGTAGTACTGCCGAGTTTACACCACTGCCACAGATACAAGTGTAGGAAGCGTGTCTGCAGCCGCCAACAGCGTAAGAATGATGTAAAAATACCGCTTCACCCTCATATTCTGTGCGTCCTGGACGCATGAATTGCATGACGCGTATATGCGCATCTGAAGAAACTTTGGCGACATAGCGTAAAACTTCAATCTCTTCGGAGGACTTGATGACACGACACTCAGCAATTACTGGATGCAAAAGAGTACAGTCGACAACAAACTTCTCAATTCCATCAAAACGTGCTGGTGTGGATACCAAACGACTATCTGTGTTAGGTCCACTCAAGGTAAGTATGACTGAGGGTTGTGCGCTTTCAAAGAATGTATTTAATTCATCCACATAACGCACTGCATCCACTTCGTACATCTTTTTAAATTCATCCAAAGTATATAACTTGCCCATCCAAGTGGAATATTCTTCTGGTAAACGTGGCACAAATAATGTCGACTGACCGGCATCAACATTGAGTACACCATAGCAACCAGGTTCTTTTACGCCAAACATGTATTGGAAGTAAGATTCCTGGCGGAAAAGATAGCTTACATCGGTATCATTAAAACTAACATCATCGCCGCCAGCTAGTAGCACGTAGCTCTTGTCCTTTACGGATTTATGTTCCTTTAAAGCAGCACATACTTTTTGTCGATTTTTTTGAAATAGAGACATTAAAACTGGCAATGTCTTTGGACCCATACGAAAAGCAGCCATTTTGTAGGGAGTGAACTTGATATAATACTGTAAAAATATGAAGCCGTAAATTCTAATTCCATAATTTATAGATATTTGCTATCACTTACGTGTGCGTAGTTACAATTTCAAACCGCAACTGGATTTTATTTCCGAACAACTTTTATCTCATCTACTGTGGTTGTCCACTTGTTATTCCAATGTTTTTTTATTACAGTTTAACTAATCAGTAAGCGCAATGGAAACAAAAAAATAAAATTTGTAATCGACAAAGGAGAAACTGGGAGTAACTTTTTATTTGTTATTATTTTTTTGTGTGTTCATTTTGTTTTTGTGCATTCAGCTGATTAGAGGTGGCAAGAAATTAATGACTAGTGATATGGGTAGCGTGTGAATATTATTTCCTCGATAACTTATCGATAGCTATGAGTATTGCATGAAGCTTTTTATATGGAATAACGTGACGAAATTGTGTAATTATTTAATTTTTAAGCGTAGTTTTTTAAAAAAGATGAAAAGAAAGTTTATCCATATTTAATCAGCATTTAAAAATTTTATTTTTAAAAATGAATGTTCCGAAAATTAAATGTTTCATATTAAAATTCCCTTATCTCATCAAAACATGCAAATTTCGTCATGATTAGGCTCGAATTGGTTGCTTAAAAACCTATTAAAGTAATGAAACTGAAACATACACACCGAGCATTAAAGAAAATGTTTGCACATACAGAATATCACAAAAAAAAATTTTTTTTACTTTTTACTAATCACAACTTTTTCAAAATGCTCCTTTGCTGTGTGAGTGGTATGAGCACCACCTGCATGCCGCGGTACACACATTTTCATTGATACTTTTTGCTGATTCAGCCAGGCGTTGGGTGCATGAGGGAACTCATCCTTGCGGTAATAACCCATAATGCCCGACTTACGGATAGCACCGATTTCATACGTAATGAGTGGACTTAGTAAGTTGGCATTTGCGTGGGCATTTGGTAACTTCGCCACCTTCGATTTCTCCATAGTGCGCATAACACAGGTGGTGTCGCACGAGATGCAGGCGAGATCTTGCAACACTTTAATGCGCGCGCCTGCAGCTGCGCATTCATCATTCGTCGCGTCCATGTACTTGCGTAGTGTCTCCTGTAAACCTTTTATTTGGGCTTCTATTTTCTCCTTGAAGCGATTCAATATATCGTCGACAGATGCCAAACCCAGTGTTATTCTGATATTATCCATGGCTTGATACATATTTTTATCGTTCGTTTTTATTTGGTTTTGCACTTCAGCGAATTTCTTCTCCAAACGACATTGGAACTCCTGCATCTGTTCATTGGAAACTTTACGCTGCAATTGATTGTAGTCTACTTTGTCAGCCAGCAATATTTCAATTTCACTTTTATCGATTTTTTCGTTCATTATTTCATCGATATTCTTCGTGATTTCATCGATTGTTTCACTGTAATTCATGCTCTTCGATTCCATTCGATCTGTGGCCTCCTTCAAACTGGATACGTAGAATTTCAAATCCTTCAGTTGATCCTGTAGATCTGTAATGAGCATTGTGGTACGTTGACAATCCTGTTCGAGTATTGTCGCAGAGATTTCATTAACTTTATTCGTCAGCATGCAAAATTCAGACTTTAAATCCATTAGCTGATCCAACAATTTATCGGGCGAATAGCAAAGATGCGTATCCAAATCGTATTCTTCATGTTGAACCGGTGCTGCTGGTTGTACTGTGACATGCGATGTTAATGGCGATTTATATGAGGGATCGCTGCGAACTAGACTCTCTTCTTCCTCCTCCTCATCTTCAACACCAGCTTCGGCACGCTCCAGATCGGGATCATAGTAAATGTCATCCAGTCGGAAACCATATGCGTTCTCTATGTAAACATTCTCCTTCTGTATGGCAATCATTTTTTTCACCAACGACCGTATTTGCTCCAATTGCATCGGCGTGGCTTTATTTTGTACCGTAATCGCGACTAAAAGACGCACTTGCTCCATAACTAATTCAAGTTGGTCCTTCATAATTGCTATGCCGCGGTAGGCCGAGCGTGTTAAACTTTGATGCTCCATTTGTATGGCAAATTCGATTTCTTCAGCAGAAGTTTTCACTTCAAGTGGCTGTTCGAGCGTCTCCTCCACTTTGGGTTCAGTTACAAACGCAACTTCTAAGTCAGTTGTGCGCTGTGCTGCTTGCTGTTCTTCACCAGCAGCTGGTGGTTCTTCCACTACCACTTCTTCTTTTGCTTCTTCTTCAGGTTCAATTTCTTCTGGTATCGGTTGAGGCTCCACACCCTCACCACCAGCTTCTTCAATTTCAGCTTCCTCTACGGTAACTGCTTCCTCGGGGTCTGCGCCACCCAGTTCTCTTCTGCGATGTCGCTTCACAATTTTATTACCACTATAAACCATGTACTGTTTTGATGAATCTTTGCTACAGCGTAGTACCGAGCCTTTGCTATGTTCAAAAGTATGCAATCCTTGGTCACAGGAACCGCTACCGGATTTCCCACTACTTCTAATAAACGAAACGTTTTCGTATTTGGTATTGTCCACGGGTTCATCGATTAGATTCAGTTTTTCGGCAAACGAAAAGAGTAAAAAATGCAGCGCATAAAAATTTACATGACCCGGCTCCGGTGAACCGATCGCCAGATCAATAAGTTGTCGAAAATTCAGTTCAGTTGCCATTTAAAATGTATAACGTGTTGAAGAAAAAAATTTATTTGCAACGGAAAATATTTAAAAAAATAAGTTCTCCAAAAATATATGATTATTTTATACAACGTGTCAAATTTGAGAAATATTTCAATTCTTTAAAAATTTGGAGAATCTCCAAAGATTCGGAAAGGTGAAAAACTTAAGAGCAGAAATGCATTTTATTGCATAACCCACGAAAAGTTATAAAATACTAGCTGATATATAGCGTATATGCTTAGTCCTTTGGTCCTTCCAAAAGTTCTCTTTCAGATTTAAAAGCGTAGGTGGGAGGTGGTACGTCTTTCTCTACATAATATTAAGCAAAGCTTTGCATTTCTTCAAAAGCATGACAACTTTTCCGCCTGTCCATATTGAAGAAATTATTGCCAAGAAGTAGAGAAAACCACAATTCTAAGACTCCGTTGAATTCGAAGCCAGAATGTGTACCATAGAAATGGTTTCTTTTTGCGCAGAACTGTACTTTTTTGTATGAAAAATCTTAACAGTATTGGATTCCAAGTCAGCATAGAAAATAGGTAAAGAGCTGAGTAAGACACACGAGGTGCGCTTAAGGAGTAGACGGGTACCGAAAAGTTTCCGACCCAAGAATTATACAAAATTTTTTTTTTCTGATTTTTTTTTTCATAGTCTCCTTGCAGCTCTTCACACCGTTCTGTGTAATACGTCCAAATATTACTTGACGTTTTTCTAACAATAAATGGATGTGGTTATCTCATTCATTGGACGAAAGTCTGTGTCCACCGAACGCAATTTTTAGATGGGGGAAATGAAAGAAGTTGCTTGGAGCTAGATCCGGTGAGTAAAGCGGATGGTCAAGCAGTTCAGTGAAAGAGAATTTTATTTTTCTGAAAATATTACCGTTTTTCCGAAAGATCTGCCTTCAAGTGATACTCCTGTAATCGATTAAAGTAGCTGAAAAAAACAATCGACTTTCCCAACTTATTTTTAGGCTTTTTCTGGAGCATCTTCCCCCTTCATAGTCCACTGTATTTTTGTTTCGCGCATGTAATTATATATCGAAGCTTCCAATAAAGTAATTAATCGGTTCGTATTTCGTATTCTTTGTGCCTAAACTGTGCCAACAGACCGTCGGAAATGTTCATTCAAACAAGTATTTGATCTAACGTAAGTAAACGCGGCACTCAATGTGCGGGCATCTTTCTCAAACACGTCCCTGTCTCTGTTATCTCTCTCACTTTATTTCAGCGGTCGGGTAACACCATTTGGCAAACCTTGGCAAAGTTTTCATTGTTCGTTGCTGGGATTGGACGCTCCGAACTTTCATAGCTTCTTAAGCTCTTACGACCACGTTTGAATTCTAATGTCCAAAATATCACTGAGCTCAATGACTTACGAGTCCTGCTAACTTCACTTTGCGTTCGGCATCTTTTCCGACCACCCTATTATTAGGCTGATGATTATTAAATGGCTGTCACTTGCACTGTTACGTGTGATCTATTCAACGCAATGCCGATGAAAAGAACAACTTTCACGCGCTACATATTTAGTTTGACGTCTAAGATAAAAACATGCGACTCTACGAGAGGTCTCTCATAACCAACGCTGACACCAACGCAACGCCAAAAGTTGGCCATCACTAAAAATTTTGCGCGCGTCGGCAATTTACTTTCCTATATTTTCTTAATTTTTCTGCAAATTCAAAAGGTAAAAAAGCTTTCTGTGCTAACCTCACACCTTTGAATGAATAATAACCACCCAATCAAGCTTCAGCTACAACTATCGTTGTACTGATGAAATACAATTCCCCTTTTGCTGGCAAAAACTGGACGAATCCCTACTTCCAATCGCTGACAGTGCAGGGTTTAATTTAAAGTTTGGCCATTGAGGAGCAGCTCACAGTACATGATTCCTTTTAAATTCTATCAAACACACAAATCGTATCGTACGGCAGTGATAGCCACGATGACGGAACTGAATGGTCCTTCTTCTGCTTGAGGTATGAAGTGAAGAGATCCACTATAGAGCATATAATAAACGAAAGGATGACGTCCGATAACATTGTAAGTTACATGCTGCCGCGATCGTGTAGAACTTAGAATAAAAGAACGGCAACGGATAAACGAAAGGCCAGGTGAATAACTTTTCAGAGAGTGTGTGAAGAGGCATTTTTAGCTCAGCTTGGCCCTGCGAAGTAGTGCTTAACAGCGGTCCCGCAGGGCCACATACAAGCTACAGCGGCTGGAGTTAAGGGTTTTAGTTATGTAGGGATATTGTTTCGCAAGTCCAGTATAGTTAGATAATGCTCTCTGTGTGTGGTCCCGAATGAGGTGTACCTTTTGCGTACGATACCAAATCGTGCATGTCGTCTGGAAAAATGGCGGTATCTTCCGAAGATTGCCCCTTCCGAAAACAAGAAAAAGAAGTGATTCGCAGATTGGACCATGTTGTTGTTGTAACCTCAAAATTATGCCCCAAAGTACTTTTTGTGGAATATTGCGAGAATGACAGTCCTTGGCCGGATAAAAATCCAGGTCGTTCCGGTATAAAGACCCGACTGTCGGGAGAAGTATTGGATTTTAGTCGCCTCTTACCACAGACCATTGTGTGATTCGCATAACGGTCTGACTCGACGATTTCCATTGTTTTATCGACATTTTCGACAATTGTCTTACCGCCACGTTGAGCATTTCTTTTACAACAAAATTACCGGAGCGAAATCGAAGAGAATAAAATTCTGCAAGATTGACTTTTACAGTGCCAGGAGCAAAACACTATTCCCATTTTTCAGCTGCCTGACTTACCTTTTCGCCTTTATCGATAAAAAATTGTGGAATATATCGTAAATCGTATTTTCCTAATTTGTACAGGATATCATTTTTCAACACCATCCAACGTAATCCAATCGCACTTATAGAACCCAAGATACAAATCTCTAAAGTCATCTATTGGATTACTTTTTACTATATTAATATGTGAGAATATTTGAAGAAGTAACCGAAGCTGCGGTGGTGAAGAAGTAACCGAGTGGTTGGCATGGCGCGCTGCCAGTCGGAAGGCTCGCGTTCAAATCCCCGTGCTACCAACATCCAAAAGTTGTAGAAAATTAATTTAAATAAAAAATTATATTAAATTTTCTAAATGCGGTCGCCCCTCGGCAGGTAACGTCAACCCCTCTAAGTGTGTTTCTGCCATGAAATAAAGCTCACCCATAAAAAACCATCAGCCATTCGGAGGCGGCTTAATATAAACTGTAGGCCCTCCGCTTCTTTGGCAAAACATCAAGACGCAAAAACTACAATTAGGAGGAGGAGCTGGGCGGAAAATTGCTTCAGCGGTTACAAAGCGCCAATTATATATATAACCGAAAAATATGCTTTCGAAATTTTGTGCTTTTATCCTCGCTGAAAGCTCAAACACGTTGAGCTCACGAATGAATTATTTGCAATGGGCAAAACTCCAGCCCCTGTTACGTCTGACAGATTTTGAAAAAGGGCTTTTTATTTCATGTCAGAAACATACTCAGGGAGGTTAACATTTCCTGCCCAGGGCCGAGTGCATTTAGAAATTGTTTTCACAATATCCATAGTTCTCTGCACAGCACGGTGAGACGTTGTTACTTACTCGGCTACAGTGGCTTAAAAAATTAAAATTTCTTAAGTTTACAACATTTTATGATAAATTTTAATAATTAAAATTGTTTGCCTCTTCACTGAATAGTTATTTATTCATAATACAGTCAAATACAATATTGAAAAATACATTACACAATTAACCCTATCTTTTTTTAATACAATAAAAAAGAAACTCTAGTTCCCATGCAATTTTTCGGTAAATTAAATATTTTTAAAAAATATTTTACAATTTTTCGCACACGTTTGAAAATAATTTAATTATTCAATATAAATCAATCGCCCAGTCCGTTCCAAATCAAAGCGGGTCGTAATAGGTTAAATGCTTTTAAAGCATAAAACAAAAAGGTGCAAAAATTATTAATAATTGATTTGTAAACAAATATGAGCGTACTCTATGTAGACTCTTTATTCGCTCCTCTCCATGCCTTATGTTGTCATTATCGCGTTTGTGTTGCGCACAAAAGCTTCGATAGCCCGCCAGGCCGTTATTTGTGAAGAATTTGTAAACTTAACAGCTTTGCTAAGCTTTTATTTGATTACTGTTCTGTCTATCAATTTGTCGTTGACTTTCTACCAACCAATAAAAGTCTCAATGCGACAGAAGTTCGAAGACATTCAAACGTGCGGAACGTGTAAATTGCAGGTGAAAAAATGAAAAGCGGAAACGGAAAAACAAATTCAAAAATAAAATGTGTGTGTAAAAAAGTATATATAGTTTAAAAAATTTTAAATGTTTGAAAAATAAAAAAAATTAAAATTAATTAATGAAAAATTAAAAGTGAAATAAATAAATAATATAATAATAAATAATTTGTTATTGTAGTGCTCAAGAAAGCACTAAGTCTTAATGGCAAAGTAAACAAATAATTATGTGCTTACATTGTACATACATATATACATACATACGTACATACGAGTATGTGTGAAAATAGTAAATGCTTATATCGTTTCATTGTGTGTTTAGTTTAAGCGTAAATTGACAAAGAATGCTGGATAGCGAGAATCATCAAGTGTTAATAAAAAGGAAAAATAAGTGTGTATTCCCGTGCCTTTACATGTGCTGCCGACAACAAGTGGCATGCTCGCACTGTAGCAGATTCGCAGGGGGTAGCGAGCAAGTGACACCTAAATTAAACATCTACTGGAAACCTTATGTTTTTGTGCAGAGCAGTGTCGGAAATAATAAATATATTTTGTATGGATGCATACGCAACGTTAAATTTTGACCAAAAGTGCAAAAAATTAAACAAATAAACATGTGGGTGTAAAGTTGATGCTTTCAAATGGAAATACATAATAAATATATGTAAAAATGTGTGTGTGTAAAAATTAATCTACGATATGTCTCTTCTCAAAAATTGTATAAGTTTACAAAACCTTTGAAAGAGTTTTGTTTACAAACAAATATACATATTTACAATATATACATATGTACGAGAAATGATCATCACTCTGACTATATGCATGTAAGTATACGTATTGTAATATTATTTAAATTTATTTACAAAAAATATTTTAGCATGTGATAATATTTTTAAGTTGCCTTTTAGATTTTCGATTTATAAATTTAATACAATAAAATAAAGGAAGGAGGGAAATATTATAAGGGCAAACAAATAAAATATATAACATAACATAAACTGAAATCATGAAATAAACATTAAAATAAAATAATAAAGATTAAATGTATTTAAAAAAAATAATAGAAAAGAATTAAAGTAAATAAACAGAATAAAGAAAAAAGAAAAATAAAAATTAAATAAAAAAGCTAAATAAATTGAAGTAATTTACAATAAAAGGAAATAAAATTTAAAATTAAATAAATCAATAAAGTGATAATTAAATTATAAAGTAAATTAAAAAAAAACTTTAATAGAATTAAATACAATGAAAAAAATAAACCAAAATAAAAAAATAATGAAATAAAATAAAATAAAATAAAATGAAATAAAATAAAATAAAATAAAATAAAATAAAATAAAATAAAATAAAATAAAATAAAATAAAATATATAATATAGAAAAAAAACGGTATGCGAAATTTATTTAGCGAAAATGTTTATATTCAATTAATAAAAACCGGGAGACGAAAGAAATGTGTGAAAAAAATTGAGCATTAAGTTCGCACAGCAAAAATGTAGATTCAACGAAGTTTAGGGTGACAAAATACCTGTAAATCTATATAAATTCAAGCGAAATGCACAAGTCTTAAGCAAGAAAAATAAAAAAGAGAGCATATAAAAAATTATAAAAAAAAATAAAATTAAGTAAAACGAAATTAAATAAAGTAATATAAAATAAAAAAAAGAAACTAAAAAAAAAATAACAATGAAAAATAATAAATTAAAAAATATTAAAATAAAAAAATGAACAAAAAAGAAATAAAACAAGTAGAAAAAATAAAATAAAATTTATCAAAATAAAATGGAATGTAATTAAATAAAATTCAGGAAATCGAAAACCAAATAAACTAAAATTAAAAATTGTAGACATAAAATAAAAATATAATACAATAAAATGAAATAAAATTAAGCAAAAAAAAAAGAAAATAAAATAAATCAAAACAAAATAAAACAAACAAAAAAATGAAATAAATATGAATTAAAATGAATAAATTGAAGTTAAAAAAAAACAACATACAATTAATTTAAAAAAGAAAATCATAATAAACTGGAAAAGAAAAGCAAAATTAAATAAAATATGTAAGTTAAGATATGTATGTTCATCAAATAAAAGATATAAAATAAAAAAACAAAACAAAAAAAATGTAATATATAACAAATGAAAAAAATAATAAAAAATTAAATAAGAAAATGTTATAAAAAAAGATTTAATATAATGAAGTAAAATGAAATAAAAGGAAGATATTTAAAAATTTTCAAATTCATTCTCTCTTTTTGCTGTATATAGTACAAAATTTTAAGCTGATTACTATTGTATATTTATATAACTACGTAGTTGTTATGGTATGTTTCTACGCTATTAAGAAAGGCGCAAATATTTTAATATCAGTTTCCTTACCAACAACATCTATGTACTAGGTATAAAATTTTTTTATAAATCGAAATACAATCATTCAAGCTAAGTTAGAAAAGTTCGAAGATAAGATAACAGGTGCCGCCAAGCGTTGTGGTAACAAACGTTTCAAAAAAAATTAACAAATTGTTTTGTGGGCATAAATAAGTGTATACCTCGTGTATAAATACTTCAAAGTGGTAAATTGATATTTACAACAAGGCAAAATACAGATAAATTTTTGAAGAATACATACGTGCATGTATGTACAATTGGGACTTCAAAGGGGATGGGATTAGGTGTAGGTAACCCCTTGAAAACTGTTAGTAACAAATCATTTTTAAATGCAAGTAAATTTTCTTTGAATAAAAGTGTTAAAATTGCTGTCCCATGACTTTTTAAGAAACACCTTTAAAAAAAAAAATGATTCCAATGCTTTCTGCGGTTACACATTCTTTACTGATAGTAAGATTTTATGTTCATCATACGCCATAGACTTTCCCCTCTGAAGAACTGTATCTCACATATAATTACACGCTCTATTGGCTTCTGACACAAACGTAGAAACGTAAATCAGCATAAAAATAGTTCACGTAGTTACAAACCATTTCTTTTAATTAAAATATATATATATATATATATATATCTGCATTTATTTTTTTTTTCAGTTTATCAGCAGTGTTGTTGTTCGACATGTTTTTTAAATTAGGTGGCAAAACAAAGCATATGACCAAAGTGCTATTTTTCACAAAGTAAATATGTACCTTGATATACATCTGTATGTTTATAGTCCGTATGTATATATGTATGTATGCGTATCAGTTTCCAACATTGTTGAAAACGTCAATGCACCTAAAACAGCGTCGTGCCGGTAAAGAAAAATTGGAGGGTGTCAAAGGTTTAAATAATTTTAGTATGCATAATTACGTAAAAAAGTTATAAAAATTTTTTAAACAAAATTTTATGCATATTCATGATAAAACTGTGATTCCAAGTCATAAAGATAAGTTTAATTATAATTGAAAAGAGTTTTCAAAGCAAAGCAATATATCAAAGTCCAAAAATATTCACCTAAAGCCAAATATTAGTGAACTTTGCTAGCTTGTGATTGGACAAGTGCTGTTTTACGATCTCAAAATTCTGCCAATAATTTGTCAATGTTGTCACTAAAAGGAGGATAACAATTGTAAATATTATAATTTAAAATATATACCATTACTCACAGGCGTTGAAGGCTTGGAAGGTTTGGTAGGTTTGAAGTTCATCTATTTCCATTGTTTTTAAAACGTCGATCATCCTTCTTCGAATACTTCGATATTATTTATACCTGCTCTTACATCAATTAAAGTCTTTCACTGAAAGTAAAAAACGCTTGTGTAACCAATTAAAATCAGCAACAACCTGCAATTGATTCGGAGGATATTTTCCGAACGATGTGAGCATAGTCATAGATTTCATTCACGAAAATACTCCCAAATAAGTGCTTGTATTAAAACGAGAGACAGAAACTTCGATTAAAAAAAGTGCACTTCTGATAATAAATATATTTTATAGATCCCTTGAATGTCAATTAAGATAATTTTTTGGACTAACATGAATATTTATTGAATTTCGTTTCTCATCTGTTCAATTTAATTATAAATTTGTATGGAAATCCTTGCCCTGGTCAGAGGGGAAAATATCCATGTCAGCTAAGTGTATGAGAAATTTAATACGATTTACTTGTTTACATAGCATACTCATACATACATATATAAAATGCTAATTGATTGTGGACGTAAAATTTGTCCAAACAAGCTCTTGTTAACAAAAAAATTGCCACACATATTTTATTTACAATTTTACACTCCATATGCATACGTACTCGTAGTACTTAATAAATGTAGATATTTGTGCATACAAAATACATTACGAATGTATATTATCCCCATAAGCACCGAAGAAATGCATTTATCCTGTGAGAAGTGAGCTCAATATACCTCTATTGAATATTTTATTTAATTTTTTTAATGAATGCAAAAAAATAGATAAATGCGACTTCTTCACATATTTACATATTTTCGCCATTAATCATGCAGCAGCGTAGTAAAGGACAAGAAAAGAGATAATTTATCAAGCCTTTCTTATCCAGGTATTTATTAAGTATGTACATATATATGTACATATGTAGGCACAACGGTGATTAAATTAATAAAAATTTGTCTTATATATTAAAATAAAATTAATTAAAGTAAAATAAAATAAATAAAAATAAAATAAAATAAAACAAAACAAAGTTAATTAAAATAAAACAAAAAAATAATATAAAATAAAATAATACAACATAGTGTAAAATAAAAATAATAAAAAAATGAAACAAAATAAAAAAATTAAATAAAATAATATAAAATAAGATAAATAAAGTACAATAAAATAAAATAAGATAAAAAAATAAGATAAAATAAAATAAAATAAGATAAATTAAATTTAAATAAAATTAACTAAAATAAAATAAAAAAAATAAAATAATATAAAATAAAATAAAATCAAATAAAATAAAATATAATAACATAAAATAAAATAAAATAAAATAAAATAAAATAAAATAAAATAAAATAAAATAAAATAAAATAAAATAAAATAAAATAAAATATAATAAAATAAAATAATATAAATTAATATAAATTAAAATAAAATAAAATAAAATAATATAAAATTTAATAAAATAAAATAAAAAAAAACAAAATAAAAAAATAAAATAAAGTAAAATAAAATTAAATAAAAAATAAAAAAAAATTAAATAAGAAATTTAATAAAAGTAAATTCAAAAAAAAAAAAGAATGAAATAAAAAATAATAAAACAAATAATTAATTATTAATAATTATTTTTTAATTAAAATAAAATAAAAAAAGAATAAAAATTAACTTAATATAAAATAAAATAGAATAAAACATTGTAAAATAAGATAAAATGGAATGAAATAAATTAAAATAAAACAAACTAAAAAAATAAAATAAAATAAAAAAATAAATAAAATTAAAAAGTTAAAATAAAATAAAACATAATAAAATAAAATGAAGTAAAATAAGAAAGACTAAAAAAATAAAATGAAATAAAGTTGAATTAAAAAAATAAAAAATAATTAAATAAAATATAATAGTTTAAAATAATTTAAAATCAAATAAAAAGAAATAAAAATTAAATAATACAAATAAAAAATAATAGTAATAAAATAAATTACAAATCTTAATAAAAGAAATAAAATTTAGTCAAATTAAAAGAAATAAGAAAATAATGAAGAAAAAAAATAAAAAAAACAAAATAAAAACTAAAATTAAATAAAATACATCAAAGTAATATGAAATAAAAAAAATTTAAATAAAATAGAATATATTGAGGGGGGACTGCTATAAGGAAAAAAAAAATTTTTAATTAGTTCTCTTTAATTTTTTGTTGAAATGTATACTAAACA